AGAGCGAGGATCACATTTGATTTCATGAAGGAGTATTTTGTTCATGGAATTAAGTGCAAATAAATAAGGAAATATACATTGTTGGGTGTAGAATTGGAGATTTTAGGGTGACAGACTAAAATCCTCAATTTGGTCTTAGTGTTTAAAAACTAAATAGACAGTTAGTTAGCCTTCAGGTGAAAGGAAGTGGGAGCTCTGGAGTGGGAGCCAATATCCTCCTAGCCTAGCCAAAGATTTAGGGACTAAACCTGAGATTAGCTAATGATTTTCTATAGCACTGTATCAGGGTAAAGAATTAAAGCTGCTTCTATTTGACACAATACATATTAAAACCATTTCTCATCTCATTTTACCAAAATCTCATTATAGTGAGAAAGATGTTTTTTCACATAAGAAATCTTCATCACACAAACATAGTTTAGTAGTTTAGTAGTTACTGTTTAAACTTTGCATTTCAGTTTTGCTAATAGTTAAATAATTTAGTTTTGATAATATCTCAGCATTTAAAATTACAGACAGTAATTTTGTTTTACTTTCTATGAATTTTCTAGTAAATTTATCATTTCAAATTTAAACCTTCCCCGTGGGATCGATATTCAGGGCTTAAATAGAATGTCTTTTATTACTTGATAATGATATGTATACTTGTGTAGAATCCTAATATTAATTGCTTAAATTTCTTAATCATAAATATTGCATCAAGCTTTTAGCACCGTTACATAGAGGAGTCAAACTTATATAAATTTTACACAACTATATTTTTCGGGATCACATCCATAACTAAAGCAAAAAAGATAGGGGCTTAAAGTTGATTCCTGATGTAATCCAACTGAAACAAGAAATACTTCGTCAATCCTCCTTTCGTTCAAACATAAGTAATAGCTATAGTATACATATCTTTAATAACTTGAATATAAGTCATATCAATACCTTTCTTCTATAAAACTCTCCAAAAGACCTCCCTTGGAGCCTTATCGTAAGATTTTTCTAAGTCAATAAAAATCCTTCTGTAAATTCTCCTTATTCTCTTTGTACTTCTATATCAAACCTCCCAATAAATGTATAGCTTATAGAGTAGACCTGCCTGACATAAATTCAAACTGATTATGTGAAATCTTTGTATCAAATCTTAATTTATGTTCAATTATTCTCTCCCATAATTTTAAAGTATGACACATTGTTGACCTCACTTTTGGTTGAGGTTTAATTTTTTCTCTTCATTAGCCTAAGGTCTAGCCATAGGAATTTTCTATTGATTATTCTTAGAAAACTAGACAAGGAACCCTCACCATTAGAAATTCTACACTCTTCTTTACTCAACTTGAAGTTCCACATATTGGTCCAAACCTCTAGCACTTAGTATGTGGGGTCATTATGGGAGAGCTCAAGATGAGTTCCCATAGGATTTTTTGACCTTAGGATTGACCCTGGGTTTTGGTCTAGGGCTAAGGCAATCACTTACACTCACAATCACTCACTACCCTCACAATCACTCACTACTCACAATCACTCACTACCCTAAACCTAAAATTTCCTGACTTTGGTCCCTTGATACTTTTGGGAGACTCATGTAGGCGGTCTCCTAAACCCACTAGCCCTAGGCTAGGGTTACATAGGGAATCCAAAATGGGTTTTCCATTGGTTCGTGAAAATGGGGTTTCTATTGGTCCATGGTTTATTGATGGTGGTTGGTACCTCAACTCTACCAAGACACCCAACCTAGGCTTTTGCCCCTAAATTCTCCAAAATTACCTAAATACCTTTGGGACCCCAAATTTGGCCAAAATTCTCAAACTTACCCAAATACCCAAATTGGTTCAAAAATA